GCCTGGCAAGCTCAAGGTTCTGAGTTTGATCCCTGGTACCACAGGGAAAAAAAAAAGGAAAAGTTAAAAAGGACGGGGTCATAGTTCAGTGCGAAAGGCCTGGGTTCAATTTCCAGGACCACTATCACTACCAAAGAGAGTTATTCACATGGTATGTTTAAAACTATTATTAACTTATAGCGTATATTGTACATGCAAAAAAGGTCTAAAATTTATACCATTGAAGGAATGCTGCTAAAATAAAAACTTTTGTATCTTAGAAATAGAGCTTCACAGGTATTTTTAATATGCTTCCCTGTCCCCTGCAGATACTATTTAAATGCACATTTTGACACCAGCCAGGGAGAAGCCTGATTCTCCGTTTCTGGCCTGGCTGGGTGCCCCAGCTTGGGACCATGGGCTGAGCAGCAGGAGCGGTGGGCTCCCCTGCATCTCTCCCAAGTCATTTCTCCTCTCTTCCCATAAGACATAAGTATTTTCCTGAATTTCATGTTGGTTGTTCGTCACTTTATTTTATTTTACTTTTTGTATTTGAGGACAGGGTCTACAGGGTTTAGAGGATCTCACTACACAGATCAGACTCGTAGTGACTCTCTTGTTTTCAGCCCCCCAAGCATTAGGATTACAGGTGTGCACCACCACACCCAGTCTTCCTCACTTTAAATAGTTTTATAATCTGTGAATACATTTTTTTGTTTTTGGGGGGTTTTTTTTGGAACTGGGGATTGAACTCAGGCCCTTGTGCTTACAGGGAAGTGCTTATTCTACTGAGCCATCTCCCAGACCTGTGAATACATTTTTTAAAAGAAATTATTGTATTTTACTTTATTTAATTTTTGTTGTTGCTGATACACGACGCAGTTTGGACTCATAGTGGTCCTTTTGTCTCAGCCTCCCCAGTGCTGGGATTACAGATATGTACAACTGCGCCTGCATGGCACACCCAGTTCCTGGACCAGCACGGCATGACGTACTGGGGATCGAACTCAGGACTTGGCACTTGCCAGAAAGGTACTTATGCTGTGACGCTATCTCCCCAGCGCTGTGAATACATTTCTAAACAGTATATAATTGTCCAGGTTTGCTGAATCTAGAGCGGGACCAGGACGTGTGGGTCAGCATGTCTTGAACTTGAATGTGCACCAAAATCATCTGGGGATCTTGCTAAAATGCCCAGAGCTCATGTGTTGGCGTTCTCAGGGGCACCTAAAGGAGGTTTTCACAGGTGAGGTTAAAGAATGCCATCAGCAGCAAAGCAGGAGGCAGGGAGTAGAGCAGAGTGCAGAGCGCGAGAGCAAGGGCCACCTGCGTCTTTACTGCATAATCCTCACACAGGTTGTCGTCCCACGTTTCCATTCCCACATAGTGCTGTAACCGGCACGTGCGTGTTTGCCTGTGCTACGTCATGGTTACACAGCTGTATCCCACTGTGCACCTGGAGAGATGAGCAGTGTCACGTCCTCAGGTGTCCGTATATGCCCCTGGGACTTGAAGCAGTCTGAGTGGTTCCCCACACCATGTACCAGTCAGTGTCCCACTAGAGAAACAAGATATACAAATACGTAAGAAATCACAGGTGCGTGTGATGGCACAAGCCTACAATCTCAGCGCTGGGGAGGCTGAGCCAGGAGCATCCGCACAAGTGCAAGGCCAGCCTGGACTACATAGTGAACTCAAGGCCAGCCTGTCTCAAAAAAGAGAAATGAAATGACAAGATAGGCTTACGAGGGTCAGCCGCAGAGTTGGATGAAGAAGCGCGCAGAGGGCGCCTGCACCTGAAGCCCAAAGCGTTCAGTCCGAAGTCTGGAGCTCGCTGCGGCGTCCTGTGTGTGCCTGTACCAGGACCCTGATGGGTCTGTGACAGAAGGCTGAAGAGTCTACGCTGGAACCCAGGAGATGACATCCGAAGTGAAGGCGGAGGCTTTGTCCTCCCAAGGACAGAAGCCGATTTATCCTCCTTTACCTCCCCTCCATATGGCCCAGGTGACAAGCCACCTAGGTGAAGCCTCTGAACCCTTAAGGTGCAGAATTGCTGAGCCGATTTAGTTAAGCTTCTAAGCTGCTCAAGTTGATACAGTCAATTACAGTCTGCATTTCTCAAAATCTCCCAGGTGATGACAGCGCTCAAGAAAAGAAGCACATCCATGCCATCCATTCCTTTGCTAAACAGATGCCTGTGGAGCGCCCGCCCCGTGGCAGGTACTGTCCTAGGCCTGGGATAGGACAGCAGTGAGCAGGGCAGGACAACCATTCCACCCCTCAGGGTGAGGGTCTACCGCTCTCTGCCCAGTGTCTCTAGAGTGGAGCCGGGTAACAGCTGGTAGGCTTGCATAATCTCAATTTCTTACAAGATCTTGATTCATCAACACCCTCACAGCAAATACAGACTTATGGGACTGGGTCTGCCCACACCTTCTTGGGAATTAGGGAAGTGACACTTAAATCTCAAGATATGCTTTTATATCAACCGAAGCAGCAAGAAATCAGATAATCCAAGTATTAGTAAACAGGAGAAATAGCAGTGTGTAAGCTGAATGAATGCTTCTGACAAGGCCGCAGTACTGGTATAGCTAGATTTTCCATCTTATTTCCGGCTTTTTCTTCAGCAGGGCAGGTGTTTGTACGTGTGCCACCCCTGGAGTGATGCATTATGGGCCTTAAGCTTAGATAAAGATCACTCTTAGTGACCACAAGTGGGTTGTGCATCGCTTAAGGTTAGACGTAAGGTGGCCGTGGCCTTGAATTTCGGTCAGAGGCCCGTCGGCAGGTTTGAGAGTTCTACCGCCTGTAGCAGGACCTTGCGACTGGAGAGCGCAGTTGGAACAAGGGCTTAACAGAGACGAGGAGCATGGGCCGCCTCCACTTCAGCAGACACTCGGGGATGCAAACACGTCAGCTGGGTCATCACTTCAAGTTTATTCCACTGGATATAACTCCGTGGTTTTACCTGTTTGATTGCCCCATGCGAAGTTACGCATCTACTAAATTCCATGTTGTTTTCCTCTCTCTGGGCCCCAAGGACTCTAAGTTTCCTGTCTTCTTTGCTGCAGTGTTGCAGCCATGGAGTAGCTTCAAGCTGGATGAGGACCCGAGGCTGTGAGCCCCCAGGTGAGGTCCTTAGAAGTGCTCTACGGCCTGACACTCCTGCTTGCCCGCCCGCCCGCCTGTGCAGTCTTGGAGGGCGTGGGTCACACTGGAACTGCGGCAGAGGCCAGGGCCAGGGCCGTTCCAAGCGATGGGTAGGCTTCCTTGGAGGCTCACCAGATGGGTCTCAGATTCAGTGGAGACAGAAACCTTTGTGGCGCTAAGTTGCTGCTATCTTGGGGTTTATTTCTTACTACGATTGTAAGCTATGTGTCTAACATATGCTCTACTAACCCACACTTCACGTGGCCTTCCACCTAATTGCCACCTGAGTATGTTTCCTTATGAATGAATTCATTTAACCAGCCCTGTTTATGATAATGTTCTAGGCTTGACTCTAACTGCAGGCACGTGCTAAGCACGTGGTCTATAAGTTAAAGGACTGGAAGATATAGGAGGCGTTGCGTAACTATTTGCTGAAGAAAGAATTGTGTACAAAGTGAATCATGTGTACACAACCAACACAATCTCAAATATTGAAGACAAAAAGAAATGAACGACAACAAAGTGAGAAATTTTTACACTCAGCTCCTGGAAAGGATTCTCAGAAATATTTCATTTTAGAAGAAAGTTCTAAAGTTCTAAAATTAAGCATGTTCATTTAAAAAGTTCTGGAAGGTTTTTGAGAACAACAAAATGTTTTTCTCATTGTGCCACCACACTCATACAACTGTTATTTACATTTTTGTATGTTTTTCTGCTACTCATTTTTATTATACTGCTACAAGCATGCTCTGGGTGTTCTGGCCTGCTGTTTTTCTCATTTTTTAAATTTAATCTTCTTAAACATAATTACTAATGGTTGCATCATAATCTCTTGAAGGGATAAATCATTCATCCCTTTTTTCTCTCTTGAACATTTAGATTATTTCCAAGTTTTTGTTTTCGTGCATGATGCTGTGATAGACTTGCTTAATGAGAGTTTCTGACTCTAGAATAATTTCCTCAAAGTAGGTCTAATAAAAAGCTTTGTAATGCCGTACTGGAGGGCTTCGTAATGCCATGCTCAAATCTCAGTCTCAGCAGCCTCAGTTCAGGTAAGAGTCTGCCTTCATGTCAGGGCACAGTCTCCACTCAGCGTTCAAGCCTGAGTTAGGTCTTCAAGTTCAGCTTCTTCGTTCGTGTGATTCTCTAAAACACACACTTTTACCACATTACATCTATATTTTTAGAGATACCAAAGCTAAATTTATAAAAAAAATTGGGATAATTTCCCAAAGCACAGTATCTTATATAATGCTATAACTGCCCGGACATATCTCGACCTCCCTTCCTCCCTCCTGACCCTTGAGAATTATGAGTCATATATAAACATTTTTCTTGAAGACAGATGTGCAAGGGAAGGTCTCTCTCCATCCTGTGGTTCTCATGAGACAGTGCCACAAAATTCAGTTGCAGTAAGCTATATAAGAAGGTCTTCTTGAGCCAGTGGGTAGCCACTCCCGCTTCACTACACGGGGCAGCATAGCAGCAGTTGTGTTGCCTCGTGCCTCGCCAGTTCTTGCTGAGCGTGTGGGGTCAGTGGAGCTGATTGGTGGCTGCCAGGGGAATATCTCTGCTTGGCAAGGAGTGCGTGCTGCTGAATACACACTCTCAGTGAACCTAGGTCATCTCATTTTTTGAAACTGAGTCCTGAATCTGTTTGTAAGACGGATCATCCCAATGATGGCCACTAACAATGTGGTGGCGAGGCTTGGGTGTGATAACGGACTACAAGGTGCTGTCTAAACTGCATGTCTCTGCACAAGTATGATATGTATTGTCTTCCCTTCAAAAGTAAGGCTGCTCTGGCTACGAATACCCCTGGTGCGATGTGGAGGACGCCCTCCCTCCTGCCAGCACCCAAGCTTTCAGGCTCAGCAGGGGAAAAGGGCTCGGAGCTTTCTCCGCATGGCGTCCTGGACCTCCCTGTTCCGGAAGCTGTAGATGAATGGATTGAGCATTGGGATTATGATGGTGTAGAACACGGACACCACCTGACCATAGACCTCACTGCTGGAGCCATGTGGCTGGACATAGGTGAACACCACTGTGCCATAGAAGATGGTGATGGCCATGAAGTGGGAAGCGCACGTGGACAGGGCCTTCTCCCGCCCCGCGGCAGAGCGCATCCTCCCGATGGCCACCAGCACCAAGCTGTAGGAGGTGAGGATGATCACGGCTGGCAGGATGGTCACCAGGGCGGAGAAGATGAAGAGGATCACTTCTGCCTTGTCTGTGTGGGTGCAGGCCAGGTGCATCAGGGGTGGGATGTCACAGAAGAAATGTGCCACCTGGTTGGGCCCACAGAAGGGCAGTACAAAGACATTCCCGGTCTGGATGGCGGAGTTGGTGCCACCAAATGCATAGGAAATAGCCACCAGCTGGAGACAGGTCCCTTTGGTCATGACAGTGCCATAATGGAGGGGTCGGCAGATGGCCATGAAGCGGTCGTAGGCCATGGAGGCCAAGAGGAAGCTCTCGGCTGTCACATGCACCACGAAGAAGGTCAGCTGGACCACACAGCCTGCGAAGGAGATGGACTTGTCCAAGGCCAGGAAATTGACCAGGAGCTTGGGTGTGACCACAGAAGAGTAACTGATATCAAGGAAGGAGAGGACACTGAGGAAGAAGTACATGGGACAGTGGAGACGGGCATCGGTGAAGATGAGGGCCATCATCCCCAGGTTGCCTGCCACTGTTACCACATAAATGAGCAGGAAGGCTCCGAAGAGAAGCTCCTGGAGGTTCGGGTAGTTGGAGAATCCCAGGAGGATGAACTTGGTAACGGGGGTATAGTTGCCACGGGCCAGGGCCAGCTCCCCAGGAGTCATCTGCAGAGGGGACAGGTGATCGTCATCCAACCTGTGCTTCCCGGGTGCTGCCACTGAGCCAGGGGAAGTGAGGGTGACCAGCAGCCCCAGATCCTTTCACTGAAATCCAGAGGGAAAGGTTACCCATAGTGGAAGGCACTGGTGCAATGGTGCCAGGTCTCTGAGCCTTAATTGTCACCAGGACACCAACCAGCTGTGTCCCTCTGCCTATCCTTGTCTGTGAAATGAAGAGACTATGCCTGCTGCTCAGGGGTGCTGTGTGGCCCTGGGGAGAGACGAGTGGAGAATATTTGAGGGTGTGGAACACAGTAGGTGATCAATACCTATGAAGCGTCTCTCCCAGGCTCGTGAGCCTCTGTGTGTTTGCCTGAGACAGGGTCTCACTTTGCAGGGTGGGCTGGCCTTGAACTCGCTATGTAGCCCTGCTGGTCTCAAACGCTCAGTGATCCTCCTGCCTCAGCCTCCTGAGTACCACACCTGGCTTACAGCACTATTTGATACTTATTACATTCTGCCATTTTCTTCAAGAATTACAATATAATCTAGATAATCACACCTCACAGGGTTGTGCACTCACCTTTACTGTTTCATTTCAGAATATTTTCAACACTGAAGAAAAAACCCTCTATGCTCATTGGTAGTCAGTCCCTCTTCTCTGCCACTCCTGGCCTCTGACCCATTAATTTATTTTTATTCTTATAGATTTGCCAATTCTGGACCTTTCCTGTAAATGAATTGGTATACTACGTGCCCTTCCACATGTGGCTCCTTTCCTCCCTGTGTTGGGGTCAGCTGCCGTGTGACATGCGCCAGTGTTCACTCCGTCCTGTATTTAATCATCCTCCAGAGCACCCCCGCCCCCAACAGCAGATGTACTGGGCCTCCTGCTGCCATCAGGACTCGCTGAGCTCAGCGGGGGCATCGCAACACTTGCTTGCCAGCCAGAAGTGGCCAGGGATCCGTCCTTCCTCCCACTCTTTCCATCCTTGTGAAGTCTGGGCTTCATCTTGAGAATGAGTCCTAGAAGAACCTTGTCGGCTGTTCGCTTACATCAGGCAGGTTCAAACAAACCCACATGGAAGGCGGCCTCTCTTTTTTGTCCCCTGGTGTCACAAGGGCAGGGCAGGGCAGGGCAGGGCAGGGCAGGGCAGGGCAGGGCAGGGCAGGGCAGGGCAGGGCAGGGCAGGGCAGGGCAGAGAAAGCACGGGCTGATGGATGGTGGAGGCTGCGTTCGAGGTCCAGCTCTGTGATCTGCACAAATCTCTCTCCAGGCCTCCGGCTCCCCGTCAGCCAAGGCACAGTTTGGCACAAAGGCTATCTGAGGCCATGGTTGGCCCCAGCTATCTGGTGGGAGTGCGTCTCTCCCAGCTTCCTTCCCAGGTGTGGGTCTTGCGTTACTCTCATTTTCTTGTGCTTCCCAGGACAAGGGGTCCGTGTGAGCGTGTGGAAGAACACAAACTCTATGCCTGATTATTAAGGACAGCTTTAGGGGGCCCGGTCCAGCCCCCAAAGGTCCAAGTACCGTGGTCATTTCCTCAGGAGGTCTCTGGCCCCATCCTGTACTCCAGACAGTGAGTTCTGAGAAACCTTGTTAAGACGCGCGGGCAGGTGGGGCTGTAAGGAGCTTCCTTACAGCAAAACTGTTCAATTCACTGGACACCTTAGTTATACCAAGGGTCACGTAACAGGACGTCAGCAGAAATCATTTTAGTACTTTATCATCTGTGAATTTGAAAAGATTTTTCCTCTTTTGCTGAGAGATTTCCATCAGACTTCAAGAGACTTTCCAGGCAGTGGTTACAGTCATTTACCTTTGCACCACTGATGTCCCACATTCTGTCCTTGGGGTGGCATTCTGGGAGATGGCATACAGCAGCTCAGCGCCTTCCTACCAGGAAAGTCAGGAGGGCTTGGACACATGCATTTCTTTGCAAAAGTGGTCCAAGGGCAACTGATGAGGAGATGCAGAAGGGGCCGGTGCTTCCGTCACAGATGTGATGTCAAGGGCGAGGGTCTTAGGAAGGAGTAGAGACCCTGAGGTTCTAGAATTGGTTCCCTTAAAATAGCTTTATGTCTGGACACTTTGGAGAAATGCCGCTTACCCTCAGGAGATGCACAATCCAGGCTGAAGAATTAGCCCGCTGCTGTGGCTGCAGGACGGTCCTCGGCTCCTGCTGGCCAGCCGGCTGGGCTTGGGTGAGTGGAGAATTCCCCACACCCCTCGCAGGCCGACTCTCTTCACTGCTGAGGTCTGAATACAAGGCCAGTCAGGCTCCTTGGGCTGAGTCCTGGCCCACCATTCCCACCTGAGGCTTTACCCAGCCCTGCCTGTGTGTGCCCAGGCCCCGCACGGGTTCTGCTCACCCTCCCGCTCTCATTTGCTGAAGGGGCTTACTCTCTACCATCTGTGATTTGCAAGGAATGCTGAATCGCACTAACGCTACAGACAATGAGGAGTGTTGTGGTCCTTCTCCCCAAGCCCCTGCTCCTACTGCTCTCGAAGGCCGGGCCTGGGCTCCTCCCAGTCCTCTACTGTTCCATCCCAACTCTGGATGGACACTTGGGTCCTTCGGAGGCTGGCGTACAAATGATTTTCAGTTGTGGTGGTTTTGGCCTTACTGAATGAAGTACAAGGATACTGATAAAATGATGGTGAGTATTTCAATACAAAAAATATGTTAAGTAAAAGACAGATCACCACATGTCCTCTTTCAAGTACCCACTGCCCATTATACTCACCCTGTCCTTTTTACCACTTTCAGAAGCAGTTCTGGAATCTTCTGTGAATGTCTTCATGGGGTGTGATTAAAACAGAAAATGATGGGGCCGGGGAGCTGGCTCAGTGGAACAAGCGCTTCCCTGGCAAGTGCAAGAGCCTGAGTTCAATCCCCGGTTTAAAAAAAAAAAAAAAATCCCTGATAAAACAGAAAATGCAGTGAGTGTCACTGCCTGCCATCCACAGGAGCCAGACATGAGTGCGCGTCCTCCACCACCTCAGGCACCAGATGGGGCTCCGGGTGACTTCTGGCTCTTCCCCAAAATGACCAAGAAAGGGGGAACATTTGGAATTGATTTAGGACCCCGAGCAGCAGGACAGTACAGCTACTGACACCTAAGAGAGGGACTTCCAGAACTGCCTCAGAAAGTGACGAGAAGGACCGCATGGGGGTGTCTGAAGTGACGGGAGGATTCTAGGTGGTGAATGGCCACAGGTCTTCTATCTTAATACATTTTTAAAAATACAAGCGTTCCTTGCATCTTGTGATCACACCTTTCACCCGGTCTGTTGCGAAGCACCTCCAGCCTTGCTCCATGAATCCTATTAAGCCTTTTGAGTCAGCCCTCTTGCCCAGCCAGATTCTTGTTCTGTGAGCAGGAGCTTGGCAGTTCACTGCTTCGCGCAGACGCACTGAGAACGGTCTCAGAGGCTTCCCCACGGAGACTTCCTTCCCTTCCCGACCATTTAAAAAAAAAACCCAACTTCTGTCTCACGTCATATAACACTTTTGATGGTGGAGACTATTTTAGGTTTAGAATAAGCAAGCAGGGTTTGGACAACTTCTCTTGCTCAAATACATTCCAACAATTGCAGTTGTTCAAAAATATCTTGGTGATTATTCAAAGCCTTTATTTATTTATTTATTTATTTATTTAAAAGCCTTTAAACAACTACTGCCCAACATGGCACAAGATGTGGTGGTGGGCAGTGAACATCTTAAATTATTTTTTGAAGCACACCCAGCAGCAGGAACCCACTGAAGAAGGGGGCATGGTGGGCATGGGGTCAGGATCAGGAGGCAAGAGGCTGGATCACCAGGAATGAGCAAGGCTAGGGAGAGGCAGGGAGGAGGAAGCCCAGGGCCAGGAAGTCCCAGTGAGCCTCCTTAGGCAACATTTCCTGGGCAAAGGCTTGCTGGAGAGTGAGGGAACTCGGTGGGGCTGCTTGACCCCTCTGAGCCTTACCTTCATTTCATTGTTTTTGAGAAGAGCCGGCCGGGGTGGGGTGAAGGGGGTGGTGGTCGGGTTGGGTGGGTGTTTGAGCTCAGGGCCTTTGCACTGAGCTGTGTCCCCAGCCCTTCTCACTTTTTATTTATTTTGAGACAGTCTCCCTAGGTTCTAAGTCACCCAGGCTGGGCTGGAACTCGGGCTTCCAGCCTCAGCCTGCTGAGCGCAAGGATTCCAGGTGGGCGCCACCACCACTCTCCCCAGTTTTTGTCTGGGAGCTGGTGACATTGCTTGGGCTCCCTGGAGGTCACCAGATCTCAGCAAGGGCTTAAGGCAACCAAGGAGGGGAGGAGGTGATTGCAGGTTTGGGGAGAAGAAAAGGAAAAGTGAAAAGGCCTCTCAGCTTCCAAGCCAGGTCTGATTTCTTCAGTTTCTGAAACACAAATACTAACCTTGTCGGTGGCGGCGCCCAGACTGCTGCAGCTCCGGGGCCTCAGGGTTCCCCCAGCTGAGCCCGGGGCGGTTCCCGGGGTGCTTGTGTGTCCCCCCCAGCCCGCGTCTGAGGGCTACTCTTCCCTAGGGCTGTTTCTGGGCTGGCCGAACACCCAGATCTGGAGGCGAGAGCAGGGCTCAGGTGAAGTGGGTGTGGCACCTGAGGCTGGGGCGCTGGCCCGTCTGGTCTGCTCCGGCTGCACCCAGGCGGCTCCATCCCCTTTCATCCCCCAGAGCTCAAGGAGGTCGCTTAAACGCACCCGCCTCCCATATCTTCTGAAGTGTCATTTTAGTCCCTGGGAGCCCGCAGGAACCTGGCAGCTGAAGCTTCCTGCTGGACCCCAAGGCCCTGCCCTGGACCTCCACAGGGATCAGAGAAGTGAGCCCAGGAATCACGTCCTCCCAGGAGCTGAGTGCGACGAGGTGTGGGCCGAGGGCAAGCGCCTGTCCTCATCTTTGTCATTAGTGTGTCCCAGAGGTGGCAAAGCTCCGTGTGGAGCTGGGGACACTAGGTCAGGGATCCTGGGGCCAAGCCTCGTAGGAAATCTGCCCAGCTAGGCTGC